TTTGTAATATGTTTTCTATATCCTTTTAAATTCTGTAAAATCTGTGGTAATGTCTCCTAGATCTTGATATTGTAATTTAAAAAATGTATAATTGATATTGTGTACTAGGAAGAAAAGGTCTAAAGGAGTGGGGGAAGTGGGAGGGGTAAGGGAAAGGAAAGAAGGGAAAAGAAAAAATATGAGAAAAGGAAAAAGATGGAAACAAAGTCTTTGCAAATGGGGAAGGGAGGGCAGGGAAATGGGGGGAAAAAAATAAGAGCCAAGATACTCATGTAATGGTACAAGATCCCAATAATGAATATAACTGTATTTTATACCTAAAATGTACCAATAAACTTAATGAGGGGAAAAAAAATAAAAAAATAAAATAAAGTCCAAGGATGTTGCTTTGTAAGATGCTGACATGAACCCTGAATAATACGTACATAAAAAATAGAAGAGGTGGATTGCTTTGTCTTTGATTATTTGTCTATTAATAGATAAAGATATTAAGTGTCACTGATTGAAGGAGGTTTCAGTAAAATACCTTAATATCAATCAAATAGTGAGGTTTCTTCTTTAATAAGTGAATCCATCCTCAACAGCCATTCTACCTTGGCTAACAAAGGCACCTGCACATAGGTTTTGTCCAAATAACAATCTTGGGACAACCAATAGACTGAATTGCTTTTTATAAATATATTTTTGAGTGATAGCTTATAATATTTGGTGCTCTTATAAAATTAAACCTATAACCACATGGAACAAAATATTTTGAAATCACTCGGTGAAATAACACATGGACTAAAAATAACAGCTTCACCAATGAAGACCAGCCCTGTACAGTTAGGGAGCCTCTTCTGAGCTTTTTGTCCCTTAGAAAATGGGAGTATATGATCAAACAGCAAATGTCATAAATAACTTGATAATGCACTTTACACTACAAAACAATAATCAAACACTAGAGATTATTATCACATTTGTTAGTTTTGTTGTTGCTGTTAGTTTGATTTTTGAGGCAGGGTCTCCTTTTGGAGTTCAGGCTGGCCCTGAACTCACTATGTATTCCAGGCTGGCCTTGAACTCTCCTCGACCCTTCTACCTCAGCCTCCGAGTGCTGAGATGACTGGCCTGCGCCACCATGCCCAATTTGTTAAAGTTTTTTAAATGACTCTCAGAACTTTAATTAGACTAAAGATTCTGATTATGACTCAAATAGTTTCCCATTATGATTCTTTACCATTGTGATAGTTAATCGTACAACTTGACCGGACTGGGAAATGCCCATAGGCCTGTGAAACATTATCTTTGGGTGTGCCTGTGAGAGTGTTTCATGAAATGATTAGCATTTGAGTCAGTATTCTGAGTAAAGAATACTGCCACCATCAGTGTGTGGGGGCAGTATGGAGTTTATTGTGAGTATGACTAGAACAAAAAGGATGGAGGAAGGGCAGATTTTCTCCCTACCTTGAATGGGGACATCTACTTTCTCCTGCCCTTGAACACTGAAGCTGCTGTTTCTCCAGCTTTCATACTTGGGCTAGGCCTTAGAGTGTTGGCTCCCTTGGTCTTTAGTCCTTGATTTTGAGCTGGAAATGTAACCTACATCAATCACTATCTTTCCAGGACTTCCAGCTTGTTCATGGCAGAGCCTCCATAATCTTGTGATCCAGTCCTTCAGAATAAATCTCTTTTATATACCTATATAATTCCTATGGGTTCTGTTTCTCTGAGAAACACTAATATTTTGTGGTTTTCACTTAGGAACTGTTTATTTTGGCTCATGTTTTCAGAGGTTTCAGTCCATGATAAACTGGCTCTTTTACCAATCAGTTGAGGGTTCTTTTGCTCAATTTGGATTGAAATGACAACCTGGCCAAGTGCAGCTCAGCAAGCAGTTCTGGGCTTTAAGTACTAATGGTCCTCAGCCTTTCATGTTACAGCTCTGGACCCTAGGTTGCTGATTTCTGCTGCTGGTCAGTGTAGCTGCTAGACCTCCTCATCAGTCAATGCCAGTCAGTCCTTCCAGTTACTGCCACTACAATTGGTCAATGCCAATCTGCCAAGCTGATCACTGCTTCTTTTGGAACTCAATGCTGGTAAGCCCTACCAGTTGCTGCCACTTCCTGATGATGACACCAGTTGACACTCAGCTGCTGGTCTCTGAAGCTCTTTGGGACTAACACCTCCCCCATGTTTATATCTCTTTTTGAAAAAGAAATCTTATCCATTCTGCTTGGGCTAATCCTAAGTGGATTTACAGGACCTTCTGAGCCCACATTAGCCAAGAAATAATTATTTGGACAGGGCTTGTGCTGTAGCACAGGAAGTTCAGTGCTCAAGGGGGACCCCCTTGATCAGCCTCAGAAGTGTGAGAGGAATGCTATTTATATAATTGCAGCAGGCCTGTGGTTGATCCAAATTCTAGCATACCTATTGGTCCACACTGGTCTAAATTCAAGCCTTCTGATCCAAGCTTACTGATTGGTTCAAATTCAATGATACTGCTTGATTCAGATTCAAGCCCACTGCCATCGGGTGGATACCTCCTGGGGTCAGTATGAGATTTTGAGGACAGTCACAGCTGCCATGGTGCAGTTCAACAGAGAATCAAGAGACATGGCTGCTTGATTAACAATTGCTGTTTCTGCAAAAATGGCAGAGCTAAAAGCAGGGAGTCTCCAGGGAGGGCTAGCTGACCAAAGAGGAGTGAAGGGAAGCAAGGGGAAAGGATGTGACAGCTGCTGGCCAAACCATAGACCCCACAGGAAAAAAGGGAGAGGCTGGCACTTCTCATCTGTCTCAGCTCCATTGCTGTTGGGGCTGAGGTAAAAAAAGGTTCCTACCTTCCTAAGGTAGGAAAATCACAGTGGAGGAAGAGGTATGGCAAAGGAAAGCTGCCCACCTCATAATAGTCATGAATCAGAGAAAGACCATGAGAGAGTTTGAGAGGAAGGGGCCAGAGAAAAAATATACAGTTCAGCTTCACACCCTCAGCCATCCTCTTCATCCAGTTAGGCCCCACCTCTTAACAAGCTTATTCAGGTAATGGCCACATCAATAGATTGTTCCACCCAACAAAGGTACAACCCTCGTGGTCCAGTTGCTTCCCAAAAGCCTATGAGTTAGCAACCAAGCCTTCAATACAATGAGCCTTCAGGGGGGACATTTTATATCACAATCATAACAGAAGAAGAATGTTTGGAAATTGCCCCAGAATGGAGAACTATAGGCCACTTTCCCATCCGAGATGAAGTATTATTCCTTGAGCTCAGATATTCAAATATAATAAAGTCTGAGTTATTTCACGTCACATAGACAAGGGAGGCAGTTCTTCTGGAGAGTGGGAGAACCATATATGATGGTTAGATTCAAAGACACATTAAAGTACTAATTTAACTCAGTGTAACGAAGAGGAAAACTCACCTGCTTCTTTTACTTGTTATTTTTTTCATCTACTTCTTTTAAATTGAGGAATCTGTGTTTAGGGAGTTTACTTTCAAAACCAGGACAGATAATAAATGTATCCAAAATTAGATATTCATTTAGAAGGTGAAATGATCTAAGAAATACCAAAATAAGCAAAGCCACTCAAGGAAAAAAAAAATCTAATTGCTGAAAACAGTAGAGATCGTCCAATTCTATCAAATAATTCCATTTATTAACTCCAACAAAACAGCCTGGAGTTATTGTAAGAGTTTTTAATTTTAGAATCAAATCTTTTTCCAAAGATAAGTTTGTGGAGGGTGGATCATGGTGGACTACAGGCAAGCAACACTTAAAAGTTGCTCCGGTTGATTTGGGAATTCACCCACATCAGCACGTGTGGCTGTCTGAGGAGATGGGGCTGCCGGAAGTCACTGGACTGCAACTTGAACAAGTTAGGAGAAACCCAGAGATACTGGTATGTAGAACAGCAAGTGAAAGAGCAGAAGTGGAACTGGACACCTGGCACCTCAGTGAGGGCAGGGAATCTCCCTCACGGGGGCTGGAACAGAAAATCCTAGCCTCTTCTTATGAATGCAGACTTAGCTACTGGACCCTGAGTCTCCTGATGGGAAAGAGGTCATTCATTCCCGGCATTTTCCAGGGGATTTTCAACAGTGTTGTGATGGGAGCCATCCAAAGAAGCTCCCATTGTCCGGAATGACTGAGCAAGAGAACAGAAACACTCACCACCTTTTTTGTTGTCTCCAAGATGCAACAGCCACTTCTTGCCAGGAATACAGAGGCACCTCCCTAGGAGTCAGCCTGGGTCCAGGAGATCAGTGATTGTGACACAGAGTAGCTAAGAATGTGAGGGAGGAAGGTGTGGACCAGCGGCCAGGTCATGGGAGACCCAGAGAGATAGAAAGATACAGCTTCTGGGTATTGTGAAACCCAGCTGGTGGGGATTACACTTGGCCAGAAGGAGGGAAATGCTACAAAACAAAACAAAAAGCGGTGGTTTGAATACTGTGACACTTAGCAGCCGTGAGTGCTTCCAGAAGCATGCATTGGTGTCCTTTGGAACTGGGGCCAACGAACCGGAGCAGTCCACAGGTTCACTGTGTGAGAGGTTTGCTGGGCCCTCCAACAGATCTCATACCCTCATTCCCAAGTACAAACCACTGAGAGACCAAAGGCGAATCCAGCCTCTCTGCCGACAACTTTGCCTTAGCACTCACCTGGGAAACAGAGAGGGGCTGAGATCGGTCCACGGGCTTCCCTAGATAGTCTGGCCAACTTGGACTGACATTGAGAAGGAGAGCTGCAAACTAAAAAAAGGTTTTCAAAGGGCTGGGATTTAGCTCAGTGGTGCTGCTGCTTGCCTCAAAAGTACAGGGTCCCCAGTTCAATCCCTGGTACAAAAAACGGTTTTTTGCAACACTCTTTATACCAGGCAGAGTCCAATATTAGAAATCTGATGGGGAGGGGGGAACATCTCCATTTTAAATGTCTCCACAATGAGAAAGATTGGTCCTAAGTTTGTTGTTGTTTGGTTTGGCTTTTGCTTCTGTGGTTCTATAGCTCCATGTTGTTTTGTCATGTTTTCCTACATCAATAGTTATTTCATAAGATTATCTAATTTTTAAAAACTAATTTTATTGGTACAATTTAAAATATACATAACAATCACATTTGTCATAGGGAATTTGTAACTGTACATAGTATATCTTGATTCCTCTTTTTCTCCCAGTCTCCTCCCCTTCCTTCAACCCCCCTCCCCTCCTTAGTTATAAAACTTTGTTTCCATTTTATCCTTCTTTTCTCCTTTTGTTCTTTTCCCTTCTTTCTTTTCTCCCTCCTCACTTTCCAGTTCCTCATTCTTTTTGAACAATGTTTTCCTATTTCACATTATCTGTTGGTCCTTATTTACCTACCCTTTCAGTTTCTTACACCAGAGAGACAATGCTATATTTACACGTGTGTTTGATTTACTTCACTTAAGAGTAAAGTGTCAAAGTCCATTCATTTAGCTATAAATGTCTTAAGTTTATCCTTCTTTATGGCTGAGTCATACTCCATTTAATAGGATGAGGTCCCAGTTGTTGATTCTTTGTATGGTTTCCTGTGCAGTCTGGGTTTTGTTCATGAAGTCTTTGCCTACCCCTATGGCCTCAAGTGTTCTCCTTATTCTCTCTTCGAGCAGATTTTGTGTTTCTGTTTTAATATTTAGATCTTTGATCCATTTTTATTTTAGTTTAGTACATGCTGAGAGACAAGGGTCTAGTTTTAGTCTTTGCCATGTAGAAAGCCAATTTTTCCAGCAACACTTATTAAAGAGGCTATCTTACTTCCAGTGAATGTGTTTGGCCCCTTTGTCAAATATAAGGTGGCTAAGTGTGTTTGAGGTTGTTTCTGCATCTTCTAGTCTGTTCCATTGATCCTCAGGTATGCTTTTTTGCCAGTACCATGCTGTTTTTATCACAGTAGCTCTGTAGTATAACTTCAAGTCAGGGATTGTGATGCACCCTGACTTGTCTTTGTTGCCCAGAATTGTTTTTGCTATTCTAGGTCTCTTCTGGTTCCAAATGAATTTTAGGAATGTTTTCTCTAGTTCTGTGAGGTATGCTAATGGTATTTTGATTGGGATTGCATTAAATCTGTATAACAATTTTGGGCATATGGCAATTTTGACTCTGTTTGTTCTTCCTCCCAAGAGCAAGGGATATCTTTCCATTTTCTAATATCCTCTTCAATATAGGATTGTCTAATTTTATGAATTTCTGTTGATTCTTTAACTGGATTTAATCTTCCTCTTTCCTCCCTTCCCATTTCCTTCCCTTCTCTTCTCATACCTTTTGTCTCTCTTTACTTTCCCTTTTTTCATATATATATATATAATGTATTTATCATTAATATTTAATTTTTTGTTGTCTATTCTTTATTACTAATGTCATTTGCCTGCTTTAAATAGTGAAAATCTTTTCAAACAAGTTTATATTATATGCTGATATATGTTTCGCTTTGTAGTTGGCAGTGTTACTGGTAGCTATTCTCTCCTTAAAGTAGTCCTGGGAATGTGTGGTGGATTAAATAATGGTCAACTTGTAATGCCCAACTGAACTGAATCAGCACAGTCCAGGTGTGGAAGACCCACCTGAGGACTGTTGCCAGTAGCATAAAAAGGTAACTGGTGGGGAAGATTGTAGGCTGTTGATTTTCTTGAAGAAGCTTGCTGCAGCTGGTTTTCCTAACGCAAACTTGGCTGTTCTCATTGGAGAAGGAGCTCAGGGCCTTGCTGTCGCTAGGAATGGCTACTGTTCTTATCAGGGGAGCTCTGATCTTCACCATGAGCATCACTTCCTGGCTCCAATGTAGATCCCTCAGCCTGTTGTCACAAACCCTTCGTTCTGTCAGAGTAGGTTTTCTGGCTTCCACCACTGGCCTTTGGGCCTTCCAGGTGCAGATCCTCAATACTGACAAGCATGAGACATTGCCATGGGCTCTTGGCCACTGGCTAGACTCATGGAGGACATTGCCTTTGACTCTAGGCCTTGAGCTAGACATGTGTGGACATTGCTGTGGGATCCTGGCCCTTGGCTGGATTCTTTGGAGCTCTAGTGTGTGGCTCTTCTCTCACACTCCTCTGCTTTTGACTCTTTGGGTAAATATCATAAAAATAACCCTATAAATGATGTGTCCTGTAATAAATGTATTCCCCTTGCACATCCTGACTACATCAGAACTGAGCCTGGCACCTTGAACAGGATGAGTGGGTCGTCTCACAAAGAGATCTACCAGATCTCAGGGAGCATCATAAAAAGAAAGACAATTACAAAAACAAAAAACAAAACAAAAAAACCTCCACACAATAGTTGAAAAGATACCCATTCCAACAAATGCACAAATCTCAACATAAAAACATAAGAAAACAAGGAAACCAGGTGCCTCCAGAAATTAATAACTCTCTAATAACCGATTCCGTACATACTGAAGTGGATGAAATGCCAAAGAACACATAAAAAATTGGTTGTTAAAGTCATCAATAAACTCAAAGAAGATACAAATAAACAGCTGAATGAATTAAGAAAGACAAAGCAAGATATTGAAGACATTTCAATAAAGAAATAGAGATCCTGAAAAAAGAACCAAACAAATTCTGGAATTGAAAAGCCCAATAAATCAAATTTAAAACCTCAATTGAAACTCTCACCAGTAGGCTTGATGAAGAAGAAAGAATACTAGGGCTTGAAGGCAAGGTAGATGTAGTAGAACATTTAGATAGTAATAAAGAAAAAAAACATATTCTTTTGAATGTGAACAGAATATACATTATTTTTAATATGAACAATATACAAGAGCTCTGTGACAGCATTAAAAGAGCAAATTTAAGACTCATTTTTCTCAGGAAGAAGAAATAATTCAGGCTTGAGGCATGGAACACATATTCAGTAAAATTGTAGCCCCCAAAAATCCCAAATATGGGAAATAAGGTGGACATCCAGGTACTGGAGGCATTTAGAACCCAAAATAAATATGACTGGAAAAGAAACCCTCCACAATATATCACTGTCAAAAAGTGAGAGATTCAGGAGGAAGAAAAAATATCAAGAGCTATGAGAGAAATGACAAATCACTTATATGCCAAGCCCATCATAATAGCAGCAGGTTTCTCAACAGAAGCTCTATGCCCAGGAGGGCTTGGAATGATGTATTTCAAGTCTTAAAAGAAAATAACTGCCAACCTAGATTAGTATATTTTGGGAGGTTATTGTTCAGAGTTAAAGAACAAATAAATATTTTCCAAGATAAGCACGAAGTAAAGTATCACTAGGTGAACATTGTAGAAGTCACTTAAGGGAATCCTAAACACAGAAGACAAGCACAACCACAAAAACACAAAAAAGAATGACTCTCATTAGAAGATTAGATCAACAAATGAGAATCAGGAATGAATCCAACATTAGAAAGCAATAAAATTCCTTTTGATAATAATTGAACATAAATGGTCTTAGTTCTGCAATTAAATGACACCAATTGTCAGATTGAAAGAAAAAAGCAAGGCCCAACTGTATGTTGCCTGCAAAAACACACCTCACAGGAAAGACAGTGGCCTATGAGAATCATTGCAGACAGTGTGTGTGCCAGGCAAACGTGGTGGTGGTGGCAGCAGGGCCTCAAGGCAGCAGGGCAGCCCAGGCTTTAGCCTCCCTCAGTTTCCAGAAAGTGAATTGGTGGCCAGTGAGTGATAGCATCAGAGGCTGAGGTTTCAGTGCATCTCTGTCCCCCACAGCCTGAGCCAAGAGAGGCCAGGCAGCACGGGTGATTGGAACAGGTTTCCTGCCTGAGAATGGGAATTTCTTCACCAGGATATGGAGACTCTTCAAGCACCAGGATGTGATTTATTTGTTTATTCATTGGATGATAATTGAATAAGCACATGGTTTATCCCAGCATCTGTCCTGTGGACTGAGAGAACAATAATGGACATTCCAAGTGGATCTCTTTACTCTATAGGACATAGAATTGATAAGAGGCAATCAACTTGTGTTATGAGGCAACCAACTCATGTTAAAAAGAAGATAAATTCCTCGTGGTGTGAGCCTCTCCTTCCATCTGCTTTACCTCAGTGTCTACATGTTATTGCTCAGTGGTTTTGTTCAAAACAGTTTTACTTTATCATATTCAGTTTGTGACCAGAACACAAAGTTATCATTGTTGTGTTAGACAAAGCAGGAGAAAACTACTATCCTTTATTAATTAAGTTGTACAACATCCCCTACAATAGGAAGTAATATAGAAGAGGTAATGATTAATAATACAAACATGTGACATGAGATATTAGTGGCCAAGAATCTCTTCATTCTTCCTGGAACACTTACTATATTAGCATATAGTTTATTATAGTTGCTGTGGTTA